TTTGCTCTTTACTTTTTGTACCATCTCCTCTGAAGGATATCGGACTATGCCCCAGGTGGAACATTCATCGTGACCTTCCCATGGGAAGCTCTGGTTTGACGCTGTCTCCATAAGCCCCAAACTGGGATGAAGGTTAGTGGATCAGTCTTTTACCCTCGTGGCAACAGGAACTGCCAGCCTGCTAGAGATAAAACCTTGAGAAACCAAGGTGGATCTGCAGAAGAAAAGACTGATGAACAAACCAGGCTTTGGAGGAAATCAACCCTCACCACTGGGTCATCTCTGTTAGGGAAGCTGTGTGTCCTTGTGATAAACTCCTCTGCACTTGACCAGCTCCAGTTTGGGTTTAGGGAGCTCCTGCAGCTGAGCCAGCCCCAGCAGCTTGCCCAGGGGCATCCCACTGATCAAAGCAATGAGTGTTTGCCATGCTTCCAGCTATCTCCATAGAGCACTCCGGTGGGCTCCTGTACCAGAGCAGGCTGGCACCAAAATAAACCCCAGCAGCAAAGCCAGCTTTCCCCAGTCTTGCATATGGAAGTTTCAAAGCTTCTGTTCCTTTCCTACATCCAAACAGCAATTAGGGAGAGAGAGCATAATTGCTGTGCTCTATTTCTTTAGTTAGCTAGGAACTTGAAGATTCAGTACAGCCTCCCTGGCTTGGACAGATAGTGACTGAACTCTGCCCCTCCAGCATGGTCAAGCTCCAGAGGAAGAAGAAAAACCATTGCAAAAGAAGCCAGATATTTCTTCCAGTGTGTGTGTACTCAACCCCAGGTTGAGCCATGCATAACACTGCCAGTGGGAACTTCATTCCACTCCCCAGCATTAATTTGGGTGTTCAGTTTTTAGAGGTTTAGGAGTTTTCCATGATGGCTTAAAAAGCATTAACTGCAATTAATTTTGCAGTGCTGTGGTTATTTCAGGGGGCTGACTGAAATTATATGCCATAGGAATAAAGGCCTGTTTCCCCCATCACCTTGCAGGACTTAATGGATGTAAAAGTGAAGGCAGTTTGACTTGTGTTTTATTTGATGCAACTACTTTCAATCACAGACAGTGCCGATTCCCCCAAAGCTGAGTGAATGCACTTGTTTTGACATTCTTAGTATCACAGATTTATTTCGGTTCTAAGGGACCTTAAATATCATCTAGTTCCAGCCCACTGTCTACAAAGCCTTGTTTTAAGCCAGTGTGTGTTTGAAGTCACATACTGCAGAATATTACTGAATTTGTCACTGACAATCCTCACGCAGAGGAGCCACCAAATTCCAATTATAAACAATGAAAAGTAAATTTAGTAAGTAATATAATACTACATGTCTGGCTGAAAAAAACTTAGGACTAGAGGGCTTTTTTCCTTATTTCTCACTGTTTCCTTCTCAAAGTACAGTGAAGTATTTGCAGCTTGAGTTAATCCAAAACATTAGTGTTGGTGTCATCTGCTCTAAGTGACCTGGTGATACAAACATTTTTACCCCTGCCCCAAATTGACCAACATGAACAGCAAGGTATCACCTCCAAACTTGGTGTTAAAATCACAGTTCAGGTATGAACCAGCAGTTCATTTACAACTGTAATTACTAGTCTTAACTGAATCTGGCAGGCTGGAAACATAAAGCTCTTTCCTGCATTAAAACATCTTCAAGCAATGCTAGAACTTTGCAGAGCTCTATAAAACATACTGTCTCTAGTGAAATCAGTCTCTTTGATGTCAGTCTCCATTTGGGGTTTCTACAAAAACTAGGCAAATATTTGAGAAAAGAATCAAATAGTTACATTACAAATAAAGCAACTTTCTTTCCTTTCATATGAAACATATTAAAACTGGTATTCCTGAAATTGAAAATACTTGCTTGACAGAAGAGAAGTGGGTTTGTTAATTGCATGGATTTACAGCAGGTGATTCTCAGTTTTTAAATGTCACAGCAGATATTCTTTAACCTCGTTTTATCCCCTAACTGGTAAGAGAACTCTTCCAAAATACTTGGCAGCTCTGTGAGACACAAGAAGTGAGCTGCAGGTTAGAGGCTGAGAGATGATAGAGGGAGCAACCCAGGGGTGTGGAGAGAGCAGTTGGATGTCTGCTGATCTGCTGGGGAACACACGAGGAGTGTGCATCTGAAGCTCTAACTACCCATCTCCATCTGCCTTGCAGCACTGTCTGCCCTGTGAGGCTGCTTTTCAAGGGCACATTTTCCTGCTACATGCACAGGTCCTTTGCACCAGATACCCCAAGCTGGGTTCCTTTCCTTCCCACCATGGGATGCAACCCTGGCTGCATCCACAGGCACCAGGAAAAGCAGCCTTTACGAGCATAGGAAGCATCACATAGGTAAGGATGGGCACAGCCTGCTCCAAAACTACTGTGTGAAATGGCACCTGCACACTCCCTGTACAAGCTCCTCCTGGGTGGCCAGCTATGCCTAAACATTACACAAGAATGTATTACAAGTCACATTTAATATGATAATATATATAGCCAAATACACACATAGAGATTCATGCATTAAATTGTTTGCAGATTCTTCTTTACCGCTATTGATTCATGTCAGATCTGCTCTGATTTTAAATCCATCCAGGCCTTGGTGTTCTTCAGCTTTGACGTTCAGACTCCTCAGATAGCAATTTGTATGTGTTTTATTTATAACCTCATGACAGGCCACAGTTTTCCTGTGACAGAAAGGGTGCTTTAGAATGATTAAATTGTCAAGCAGCTTCTGAGCATGGACTGAAGAATTGTCCAAGCTAATTGTGTCTTTATGGTTTTTATGAGAATTTACATGTGCAAATTAGATATTTTATTGCACAACCACCACAGGAGTTGCTGCAAATGCATACAAGCAGGTTTGGCAGGTGTACTTGGGCAAGAGTCAAGAGCTGCTACATGCTAAAAGCCTGGAGGGTGGCTGAAACCAGGCTCAGTCTTGGTCATTGACATTAGACCAGTTTTATCTTTGTAATGCATCTTAATTCTTGTCTGGCTGCCCTGGTTTTGGTTGGGATAGAGTTAATTTTTTTCCTAGTAGCTTGTACAGTGCTGTGTTTTGGGTGTAGTTTGAAAGTCATATTGATAATACACTGACATTTTAGCTGTTGCTTAGTAGTACTCACCGTGTGTCAAGCACTTCATTCTCTCATGCTCTGCCAAAGAGGAGCAGCACAAGAAGCCTGAAGGGAGAAGAGCCAGGACAACTGACCCAAACTAGTCAAAGGGATAATCCATACCATAGAATGTCATGTTCAGTATAGAAAATGGGGGAGTGGTTGGCCGGGAGCAATTGGTCACTGTTTGCGAATGGATTGGGCATCAGTCAGACGGTGGTGAGCAATGGTAATGAGCATCACTTGTGTTTCTTGGGTTTTGTTCCTCTCTCTCCTTCTGCTGTCTCCTTTTTCATAACAATTACTATTATTATGCTTTATTTCAGTTATGAAACTTCTTATCCCAACCCATGGGGTTTACCTTTTGTTTTCCCTGATTCTCCTCCCCATCCCACTGGGGAAAGGGGAGCAACTGAGCAGCTGAATAGTGCTAAGTTGTCAGCTGGGGTTAAACCATGCGACTGGCTTAGTTTTATTATATGCAGGGGTGCTGGTATTCTGCATTTCCCTTGATAGGGAGCTAGTCCTTTTTGGACAGCCACAGTCACAGAGGGATGACCATGCAGCTGGTGAAGCTAATGTATCTAATATTAGTATACAGCTGCTGCTTTCCAGGAGTAATTTGTTAGTAATTATCTGGGAAACAGGGACAATATCCATCTTAGTGCTCTGCCCAACTCTGTTTAAAGAAGAGTTTAAGTGACAGATTGTTTATACACAAAAAGGAGTGAAGGAAGTTTATCTGCAAATCTAAATACCGCTCACGTTTTGCACAAACCCAGAGTTGCCTGTGCTTTGCCGAGGGTTGAGGGAAGGATGAAAGGAACAATGATGGATGAGCTGAGGAGGAGCCTGGCCACACCTGTGGTGCATTTGGGATTTGTGAGCATGACATTAAATCACCAAACCCTGTGTGCTAGTCAGTGCAGGTGAGCTCAGGTCAACCAGACTCAAAGTGTAAGAGTCTGTCATTAATCATATTTACAGAGTTTCATTCAGCCATAGCTTTTAAGGAAGGCAGGAAGGAAGGAAGGGAGAAGCAGAAGCAGCAGCATTTTTAACACTGGCTGGTGCAGATGCAAGCAGAACATGTGATGTGTAAGTCAGGCCTGTCTTTCCTGTTGCTTTTCTCTGCAGCACAACTCCTGCTCATATGTGGGGTAAGACTGAGGACCTGCACAAGCCAAAGTGACCAGTGAATGACGGAATCAGGAGATTTTAAGATGTTTGTCCTGTGCAGTTTGATGGGGTTTTATGCAGCCAGTGGAACAAGAGAGGCTGCCCTTTAAGGCACTTTAAGGGGTGACTTTGATGCTGAGAAAATATCTGGAGCCATCTGATTTTGTCTAAGCATCCTTTGAGGAGATTCAGGAGCAGAACATTTGGGGTGGAACTCTGCAGGGAGGGGAGGTCTGAGGAAAGGGTTTGGTTATGACATGATGTTTCATAGACTGCAATAACAAGTATTCTTCAGCAAAGCAGCCAAATAGGTATGTTTGGCTGTAAATATATGCCAAATAGCTACAGTAAGCTGGGAGAGCTGCCTAATGGGGAGGTGGGGCAATTCTTCCTCTTTTACTCTGTGCTGGTTAGACCTTGTGAAAGTATCATACTGGGCTTTATCCTCAGAAGAAGAGAAAACTGGGGAAACCAAGCCAAGAAAGGTACAGCAAAAATGAGCTGAGAATAGAAGCTTTGGGGAGAACAGTTGTGGTGTTAAAGCTGTTTACTGTCAAGAGGATATAACTTCAAGGAGTTGAGCTCATGTTGTGTGGGTTCTCCTGGGCTGCTTCAGAAAGGAATGGGTAGTTCTCTATGTCCTTGGCGGTTGATAAACCAGGATAGATGAGAAGAAGTGGTATATATAACTTTAAGATGAGGATGGATAAGCACTGGGATAGATTTGCCTTGGGAAGTTGTGGAGTTGTAGTCACTGGGGGTCAGAAGTCAAACAAGCATCTGCCAGCACAGATAGAGCTGACCCTGCCTCAGGCAGGGTGATGGGCTGCCCGGCCACTGCTCTGCAGCTCCTTTCAACCCTCTTTGTTATGATGATGTGGAAAGCAAATTCTGCATAAAAATAACTCAATGTGTTGCCTTATTCTGTATTTTCCTCTGCAAAGAAGGAGGCACAGGGTGTGCCCAGGAGGAAGAGAAGAGGAGTAATGCCGCTGTGTCAAGGGGCACAATGTGACTGAGCTGTGAAACCAACATAATTATTACTTCCTTCCTTCTCTTTATTAATAATAGACTTTTTTTTCCTGCTATCAAGGTAGCCAGCTGTTGCCTAAGCCATTATTGCACTGTGCTCTGAGCTATGTTTTGCAGGCTTTTTTTGTCCCCTCTCAGGAGACATTTTCTTATGAAGTGTTTTATGAAGGCAATGGAGCTGGATGCTGGGGTACAATGCACTGTGGCATTTTGTGAACTGTTCCTCATGTTCTGGAACAAACAGTGACTTTCTGACACAAGAATCCTTTGCTTCCCAACTCCACACGATAACTGGTATTGACAATAATAAAGCACATTGTATGCACTGGGGAAATAATAATAAAAGGATTTATAAGTGGTTTGGAGTGGGAACTTAAGGGAGCTGTCAGTACCAGCAATGTGCAATAAAAAAGTCAGAAAGTGACTATACAGAATCCCAGACTGGTTTGGGTTGAAAACGATTTTAAAGCCCATCCAGTTCCAACCCCTGCCATGGGCAGGGACACCTTCACTAGAGCAGGTTGCTTCAATCCCCTGTGTCCAATCTGGTCTTGAACACTGCCAGGGATGGGGCAGCCACAGCTTCTCTGGGCACCCTGTGCCAGTGCCTCAGCACCCTCAAAGGGAAGAGGACCTTCAGATCATCCAGTTCCAACCCCTGCCATGGGCAGGGACACCTCACACTAAACCATGTCACCCAAGGCTCTGTCCAACCTGGCTTTGAAGACTGCCAGGGATGGAGCATTCACAACCTCCCTGGGCAACCCATTCCGGTGCCTCACCACCCTTACAGTAAAGAATTTCTTCCTTAAATCCAATCTAAACATTCCCCGTTTAAGTTTTAACCCATTACCCCTTGTCCTGTCACTACAGCCCCTAATGAAGAGTCCATCCCCAGCATCCCTGTAGGCCCCCTTCAGATACTGGGAGGCTGCTATGAGGTCTCCACGCAGCCTTCTCTTCTCCAGGCTGAACAGCCCCAACTTTCTCAGCCTGTCTTCATACAGGAGGTGCTCCAGTCCCCTGATCATCCTCGTGGCCTCCTCTGGACTTGTTCCAACAGATCCATGTCCTTTTTATGTTGAGGACATCAGAACTGCACACAATACTCCAACTGAGGTCTCATGAGGGCAGAGTAGAGGGTCAGGATCACCTCCTTCGACCTGCTGGTCACGCTCCTTTTGATGCAGCCCGGGATATGGTTGGTTTTCTGGGCTGCAAGCACACACTGAAGCCAGCTCATGTTCATTTTCTCATTGACCAACACCCCCAAGTCCTTCTCCACAGGGCAGAAAAAAACCAGATGAGGGCACAAAAGCAGTCCCTAGTATCTTCCTAATATCTAATCTACACCTACCCTAAATGCACCTAAATCTGATCTAAATCTGCCTGTCCAAAAACCTTTGTGTGTAACAGCATGAATGTCCCAGGTTTGGGAATTACAGTCCCTCTCGTCCTTCCTGAGCTAGGCTCAGCAATCTGAGGTCTGGCAGCTGTAGTGGTAGGGTGATGTGCCCTCAGAGTCCTGCCTCCCCAGCTAAAGGGGTTCCTATTTTCTGTGGCATCTGCTCAAAACCAAAGCTAAATAAACCCTGGAAAGCTTTTGTCTGTCTGGAAGCATTTATCATCTGTTGAGATGATGGGCAGCAGAGCATCAGTGTCGTCCATAGTTTTGGGTCTCTGTGATCAAAGCTTCCTGATGAGTAAGGCCTTTTTATGAGCATCAGTGGTGGGAGGAAAGCAGGCTTTGTTATGTCCCTGCTGTGGAGGTTATTTGTATTGCCCTGTGCACTCTGGATTGCAAGGAGTAGAGCTGTCAGTGCTGCTGCTGTGTTGGCAAGGGCTGTTCCACACACGGAGGTCTTCCCATCTTAATAAAGATAGTCAAAGCAAGGAAGTGCAGGCTCTCCCTTGGCTCATTAATGCTTGTGCTTCACTTCTAATTGGAAATATGTTGTGTGGATTTTGCATATTAACAGGCTTTTGCTATTGCACAGGACTGCGGAGAATTCAGAAGCTGTTTGAAAGTCAGGATGCTTTTTCCCTACTTTCGGATCCGCTGAGGGTAAACAGCTCTGCCCTCTAGTGCCGCTTCCCAAATCTGTTAAAACGGAACACATCGATGATCCTGGGAATATGTCTCACCCAGAGCATCCCTTGGAGCACACTGATCAGAGCCTGTCCGGGGCTACTCTGCACATCGTGCTGAAACTAGGCAGCTGCTCTGTTAGAAGGGGTTTAGCCCCATGCCGGGCAGGGGGGGGCACGGCACATGCTGGCATATCCCCTGCACAGCATCCATAAGGTAATTTCTGTATTTTCCCTGAAGCAACCCCATTGAGCCTGCTATTTGCTTTCCCATAATGTTTGTTATGCCTTTGAGAGATATATAGAAGAGCTAAATGATGAACAGCCATTTCAGCAGCTTTGCTCTTTCAGACCCATAAATAATGAATTCATCAGGGTGAGAAAACATGTGCCCAGACACAAACACATGCAGAGCTTTGTAGAGGAAAGGGAATAAGCACGGAAGCTTGAGACTCAAATGCAGAGCCCTGTGCCAGCAAATGGGAGCTGCTTTGTGGAGTGAGACAGTGTCAGAGGGTGGGTATGGAGTTAATTGCCTCAAGAGCAGACAAAAAGCAATTAGGAATGTAGGCAAGTGCTAGATGAGCTTTGAAGTGAGAGGTTGCTACTTGGTTGGCTTTTGGAGAGGGCCATTGGCTCAAAGGGGACTTTTGCTTTGTTGTCTGTCTTTAAGCATCATCTGAAATAATCTCGTTGCAATTCAGCTTGCGTGGTGTTGGCTCCCAGCAGCCCAACAAGGTACACAGGTGTGTTTTAAACCTGCTGGCCAGCTCCAACTCAATAGGACAGGGTGGTTTCAAAGAGCCTGCATTCCTGGAAGTTTTGTGAGGGTGAATAAACAAATGAAACCCCACAATTCCCACAGCTGCCCCTGCTGAGAGTCCTTGTAGAGGTAGCAAATGCACGACTTTTTATGGGCACCAGAGAATCCACAGTGAGGAGGACTGGAAAGGCAGCTCCATGGTGCTTCCTGAGCCCCACTGCTCACAAACAAGTCATGAGGGTTGCGTGGCAGGGCATTGCATTGCAGAACATGCTGCTTCCAGGGCTAATGTGAGAAGAAGGGAAGAGCTGGTTTCTTGTGCTTTGCTGGCAATTCAAATGGGCTAGCACAGCAGAGTGATGGCTGTGTGTGCTGTCAGAGCATCTCAGCTGAGCCCTGCAGAGCCAAGTCTAATCAGCTGAAATACAGAGCTGCAAGTGCTAGCCAGGGGCTGGGGAGGCCGCTGGGATTCAATGCTTCACGCTTCTTTTTGCTGTGATATATTTTGTCCAATTTCTCAGCACCACCAGCTCCTGCCTTCAAAGAACGCCTGCCTGCTCTTTTGATCAACAAATTGCACGTGGCTTGACAGCAACAGCCTCTGTCAGAAGCCACGTCTCCTCTTTGGCCATGGGAGCATGCATGAAGGAGCCAGGCCTGCTACACGTGAGAGGTGGCACTGCTGAGCCCCTGTGGCAGCAGAGGAGTTTCAGGGCACCATCACCATTCCTCCTCTGCCATGCTGGTTGTGAACCTCTGGGCTTGGCAGGGGCTCTTTCACCACTGATGCTTTTGGGTGCCTTTCCATGATGAACCCTTGTGCAGCAGGAGGTTTGAGCCCAGTAGTGTTGGGAGCTGCTGGGTGGGAGCTGGGTGAGCTCACGAGTCTGCAAACCTGGCTTGCATTGGGAAGACAATAAGATGCAAGCAGTTCACCTGGGCAACCTTAGCAGTGTTTTGCTGGCATCTTTCTGATAATTCTGTTCTTTTCTGCGTAAACAGCAAAGAAAAATATACCAGCTTGCAGTTAGTCCTTCAAACACAAGTGGTTCTGGACAGCCAGCGGAGCACATAAGCAGCTCTTTGATTTATGAAACACTGAGGCTTCAGTTCTCTGGTCCATCTTAGTTTGATTTGCACTGATAAGAGCTAGGGCATTTTCATAAAGTTTGATCATCCGCTTATAGCCTTGTCTAAAATGTTTCATAAGGCAGCTCCCAAGATGAGATCATCTTTTGTGGAGCTGGAAATTCATTTGGGGAAGGCTGGACAATTCAATTTGGAGGCATTTTGCCACTCAATGGGTGATGATGGGGGGGAAATTCATGCAGAGTTCAAAGATACTGAATTTCTGAGCTTAACTGGGATTTGCAGTTCTTACAGTGGCATCAAACCCATAACTGCTTCACTAGTGCATAAACAGCCCAACAATCTGCATTGATTTTACTATCTTTTACTTTATTTTCCTCTTGAAACTTGGACCATTTATGACAACTTTTGATTTTCTGCATTTTTCTTGTTGACCTCTGAAGCAAGTCAAGACTACAGAATCTAAACTCCTTCCTGCTCCCCATAGATTTTGAGCTTCCTTAGTCTGTCTTAGACAAATTTGACTGGGAGTAAATACTCTGTCACTGGGTTTTATGACCTTTGGTGGTTGGAATAAGTAGAGACCTCTTCGTATCTGGAGCGGTTCACTGCAAAGCTGACAAACAGAAGAAGGGAAACAGAGGCCTTAGTAATTCCTGAGATCAGGAAAAGTTCATCCAGAGCTTCCCCTGGTAACTACCAGTTCCCTTCTTATCCCCCTTTATATATCTGGTCGGTGTCGTGACGAAAGCTTAAATGTGAATGCAAAGGCAAGGTAATTTTGCAGGGCATCATTCCTACTAGTGCTACAGTCATTATAGGCTAAAATAATATAAGTATGGAGATAATAGTGAAGAGAGGAAAATGGAGAAGAGTGAGCAAAGAGAAAATAAGTGTTTAGCCTAGTTTTGGGAAGAAACAAAGCTAATGATTTGGAGCTCATCTAGATGGCAGCAGCAGGCATTGCTTTTCCTACCAAGAGAGGTGATGTCTTTTTATTTCCTTTATTCTGTCTGCAGAATAAAGGAGAATTTAGCAATTGTCTGATTAGCTCCTTTAAGCCCCATCCACTACAGAAAAGGACTAGAAGTAGACTGAAGTGAGGTATCATGGATTTATATGTACTTTGGTTTATTCAAAATGAGTGCCTTGTGCTGGGCAGCTCATAAAATCAGGCTGCTTTATCTGTCCTTATTCATAGAATAATGCTTGGGTTGAGCAGTTTTCATCTTGTTGCTGCTACAGAGTGGCCAGGAAGGGAGAATGAAGGTGACAGCAGAGGGTTTGCCCCAGCCTGGAGACCAGCACCAGGGTTTGGGGCCATCTGCATGCCCAGCCTGACTCCACTGCTTCCAGCTGATGGGAGTGAATTCTGACAGCTCTTGGACTGTGCCATGGCCAGGGTGTGAGCATAGGATGGCACCCCAGCTAAAGGCAGCACACAGATAGGCAGAGCCCTCCTGCTCAGCTCCTTGCTCAGGGTGGACCACAAATATGGGAAGGGGCAAATAGCCCCCAGCATCCTCAGGAACTTGAGGCACATGTATTTTATGGGCTCTTTTATCCTCTGCCCTCTCCTACGGAAACAAACCTGGTGCACTGAGTACCTTGGGAAGGCTGCAGCCTTTTGCCCCAGAGATGGTGCCAACCAGGGGATGGCAGCTCCTCTACCTTTTTTCTTCTTCTTTTTTCCCTTTTTTTGCATGTGAATCCTAGTCAAGGCAGCTAATAAAGTCAGCAGCTGCATAGTTAACAGGAGCAGGTCTCCATGCTTGCAGGGGTCATTTGTTAGCAAGGCTGAGCACACACAGTGCATGCAGAGGTGCTCACTTTGCTGCCTCACTGCTGTGCCAGATGGAGACGTCAGTGGGGATGGACACAGGTGGGCTGCTTGGTGTGATGGGAAATAATTATCAGAGCATTAGTTTTAGGGTGAGGTAAATGGGCTGTCCAGCTGTAGCTGCTGTAGAGAGGAAGTTGAATGTTAATTAGATGCCACCAGTAATTATGGTGATTATGTATTTTTTTGAGTGGCTGTTGGGAATAGCGAGATTCACATCCAGAGGGGGATGTCATTGACATTTCTAATCGCTTTAAGGAAGAGAGAAGGTACTTTTGTTTTAAACAAGGGCAATTACAGTAAAATAAAGCTCCAGTAGAATCCAAAGAGCTATCAGTGGTTTGATGTAACTGCTCAGGAAAAACGTGTGTTGGTTGAAGGAAGGGAAAGTGCTTTGTGTCTGGTACAAGATACACACATCCTGCTTTTTTACATAGAAAAAATAGGCCATGGCAGAGATGGGACATGCACCTGTTCTTCCATCTCCTGGTGCATTTTCTTAACTGAGAGACAAGCAATCCTCTTGAAAACAACTCACAGTTTATTTTGCTGGCTTTCAGGCCTGTCTGATGCTTCCTCCCCTTCTTCCACAGATAAACAAAGGTGATGCCAGTAAAATTCACGGAAGCACTGATTTTGTAAGACTATTATTCTATGTTACTTGCAGGCACTTCAATTTTAATATTTAGACCAGAAACCTGATTTCACAGGCTTGTCCATACACAGGGTGACTCTGAAACAGTTGTTCCATGCATATTTATGTAGGCATTGCGATAAAACAAGTGCCCACATTCAAATCTATTCAGGAATAGCTGTTGTGCTCAAAATTCAATTTTCCTTTCAGTGTTTTCTTTCAGTTGTAGATCAAGCCTCTCACTTAAACCCACTAGTTAAGAAGTGAACTCATTAACATGCCACCCACTGTGTCTGATAACCTAACTAACACCTTCGATCTCAGACAGTCACAGCTCAAGTTCACTTTGTCGAGATTATTTGTAGAATAGATTTGCATATATTCCTAACAGACGTGTTCTGGACACACAGCCTTTTGTGGAATACTTTACTGGAAATGGCTGGTGTGCAGCAGTGCTGTCTTCCATGCAAACCCACTTTAGTGCTCCTGAGGGTTCCTCACTTCGAGAAATAACAAGAAACACTTCAATGCATCTTATATGCACAAAACCATGCAAAAGCCCAAGCATCATGAGCTGATTTGTACAGAAACCCTCCGATGGTTGGACAAGCACAGTCTGCTGTGATCCACAGGGAAGGTCCACCTAAAGCACTTGTGCAGCTGCCTAACTTGAGACTTAAAAATGCACCGTTCCCCTTCATTCACAGGGGAAATACAGTACATCACCACCGACTTTCCTGAAGATGGTGTTTGGAAGACCCCTGCTGATGATGATTCAGGTAAGATATTACCTGGTTTTTGCATCAACTCTACTTGCTGTCAAGGGAATGACTGATTTTTCTGAGCATGGGGACCATACAAGATACCCTCATGACATTCAGTGGTCAGCTTGTCTCAAACAGAACTAAATAGATACCCAGCACAGTGGCATAGCCACCTTCTTGGTCTTGCACTGTGTGCCTGGGTGTCGATTGCAGAGGTGTAATCTCCAGATGGCCAACCCTCACTTTCCTCCGCTTCTTTCTCCATGTGGAGGTTCCTTAGTGATTCCTGGTCTTGTTACATGGGACAGCCTACTTCTCTGGGTGTGACTAGAAGTGGATCCATTACAGAGCCAAAGTGCAAGTGTTCTGCACCGGTGAGATGGGCACGTGCAACCAGCTCCTCTAGCATGCCTGTCTCATGGTGTGCACTTGTCAAGAGCAGCTGTGCTTTGCTTCCATAACGGGTGTAGCTGCATGGCAGGGGAAGGATTGCATGTCTGGAAGAGCTGCAGCAGTGGGGTGCCCCACATCTGGGAACAAGCCTTGGGCTAACATCTGGTTGAAAATTTTTGGTGGGTTGGATGTGTCCAGGGCTATACAATTTGTCAAAGGAAAGGCTCCCCTCTGAAGTGCAAACACAACAACCCTTGCATTGCTTAATTACTTCTATCTAGGAAAGCTGATTGAACTTTCTAGGCATTTAGGCCTCTTTGATTGAACCATGTTCAATAAAAAGCAGGTGGCTAGATGAATGCTTTGCTTTTTGCAGCTAAAATCCCACACCTAATTAAATCTTATGGAAGCAGGAATGCACTTTTTTCCTTTTTCCTTGGTCAGAGTCCATTGAAATACATTTTCACCCTTTTATCTAATTCAGGGAATAGTGATACCCTGCATGTATTTTCTTGCATGCTCAGACTTGTGTGCAAACTTGAAAGCTGGGCTTGCCTTGATTTACCCAGTGCTTACACAGCCTGTGCTCTCTTCTTCCAGATTCCTCCTGAAGGATCTGCTGCTGGTTGATGGGGAGTTGTCAAAATGCATTGTGCCACTGCAGGAGGAGCACAGGATAGCCTGGGACTCTTGTTCCTCCTCTTCGAGGCTGAAGAGTTGACAAGTTTAAAAGGACACACCATGAGCAGCTGAGTCTGTGGGAGATGGAGGAAGATCAGGAACCTCTGAGAGTTTTTGAGGCTTTGAAGAATCAGACCCCAAGGATGTTCATCTAGATATTAAGGCCTGTGTTTGTAAGAGCAATTGCTTTGCCATGTTCTCCTTGAGGACCTGGCTGAGCATCCAAAGAGGAGGTATGCATTGTCACTTCCAGGAGAGGCAGGCTGGTTGATGTGACTGTATCTGTTCTGATGCTTTGAGCTTCTCGGCATGCTGTGCCATCACCAGCACTTGCTCCTATAGAAGTTTTTGATGCTCCTGTGCCCAGTAGCTTCTGTTTGCTGTTTACTCTCCTCTTCTCATTCTGTACTTGGACACGGAGGTAGTTCTCAGTCTTGCAAATGGGTTTGCTTCAGCCCTGGCGTGTTAGTGCTTCCCTCCTTCATTCTTTCTATGTGTGGTGCAGATGTGGAGGCTCTGCCCACTGACCAGGGGCTGGCAGCTCACTGACTGAGCCATCAGCACGGTAACTTTGGCTGTAGCAGTTTCTCTCAGTCTCTGTAGCTTTCTGGGTTAGGAGATCCATCAGCCTGAGGGTTTATTTGCACTAGCACCATGGGTGAGAAAACAAGCACTGCATCAGGCCATGTTTATTTTAAATCTCAGGAGCTGCTGGGAGCTGTGTCAGCCAAGGCAGTCCCACAGGCCCTGCTGCCTCCAAGGAGCTAGTCCTGCTGTCTGCCGGCTGTGAGGGCCATCTCTTGGGAGGCAGTTGTACACACTCCCCCTTGCCTAAGCTCCAGCCCCTGGGAACACCAGGACTCTCCAGGCTGGGCTTGCTGGGAGCTCTCCTGGTTTTCCTGAGAGCACCATGGTGCCGCTTGGCAGCCCAGGCAATGGCATAAATGATTTTCTATCCTCTTGTCTCAAACATTAAAGATACTACAGTGATGGAGAGAGGAAGGAATAATGCAGCTCAGGGAAGAGCTGTGCTCCTGCAGGGGTTGCACTGGGCACACTCATTCTCCCAGTGTACACAGAGGGGTTTTTTAACCCTGAGATCCCTCTTTGGTGCTGGTAAGGGTGTCTCAGGCTTGTGTGGGCAGCAATAGTTTTCCTGTGGCTGCAGAGTGTGCTGGGGCTGATCCCTCTGTGCTTTGGGGTGAGGGAGAGGCTCCAGCTCCAGACCATGAGTGAAGGCTGCAGTACCACAGCTCTGTGCAGTATTAGCTGCCTGTGGCTGTAACAGTCAGGGTGATGGCTCTTCCAGGAGGAAAACACCTCAGCTGAAGCAGTGTTCCTTGATCCCCCATGGACTGATCGGCATGCTTTGTGCTGTCAGGCTGCACATCAGTCACAGCAAAGAGAGTGGCTCTAGTGGCGGCTGAGGATGTGATGAGGATGTAGCGAGTGCGATGACTCCAGAGCTGGTTCAGGTTCATGCAGAGCCCTGGTGCTGGCTCCCCTCTGGCATAGACACCCCAGGACCTCCCTCTGGGACACTGCTTTGGGAAAAGTGCTGTTTCCAATCTGTTCCTCGTCAGCTGTCAGCAGTTTCTGTGTGTGCCCACCAGAGAGCAACCCCAGCACAGGGTTGTTGTCTCCAGCGAGACAGAGGCTGAGATGGAAGGTCTGGGTGTGAAGCCAAATCCATCTTCTCACCCTTTCCAGCCTTATACCTCATCCCAAACCTGAGCTAAACGGTGAGTTTGGCCTCATGGTGTCCTGGGCAAGAGGAAGATTCCACCGGGCAGGGAGGGTGTGCTGCCATGTGAAGCTCTGGCAAGAGACCCTGCCTGGGTCTTCTGCAGGGAAGGACCAATGTCATCTGCAGGGAAAGACCAGGCCAGGAGTTAGCAAGGAGCATCAGTCCAGTGCACAGGGAGCAAGTAGGGGCTCAGGCAGAGCTTACAAAACTTGGATGGGTAAAAGTCTGGTGCTTTATGCAATCTCCTTAATAAGTGAGCACAATTTTGTGCTCATTTCACAGAAACATTCAGGCTGGAAAAGACCTTGAAGATCAAGTCAGTGCCTGAACACGTAGTTGGATCTCTCAGTGTGGTTTTGTGTGTGAGATACTATATCAGAGCTTAGTGTTTGGGGAAGGTGGAAACCCATGCTTTTCAAGCAAGTCGGCACTGGCATGAAATCCCAGGGTAGGCAGTCACATCTGGGCTGGAGGTAATGCTCAGCTGTGCAACATCAAATATCTTACCTGAGCTGCCTGTATCAGCAGGGAGAGATGGACAGGATTTATCCTATCCAGGACAGGGGAACAGAATTGTCTGCTGGAAGGATCCGTCCCTCTCCTCCATGCTTTGCTTGAGCCAGAGAAGCAGCATTCATGTGTTGTTGTTGGGTGCAACAGTCCATGGCATTGCTAAGCTGCAGCCCTGGTACCTGCAGAAAGGGCTTTGAGAGAAAGCTGAGGGAAGAAACAACCTCTTGCTATTTTTATCGCTGTGCCAGCCCCTGGGGATTTCGATTGACAGGATTAGTTATGAAGCCAATATTATGAGTTTAACTATGAGTGAAATAACACAACTTCTGTGGGAAGCAGAGTAAAAGAAGCAATTATACAGTAGTTTAATAATAGTGCTCTGCTGGCTGGGAAGCTGAAAACTTATGGTTGACAGTAATTAGATTTTTTCATTCTTCCTGTTAAATAGCTATAAAAATTACAATAGAAATTCATCTGGTTCTCTTTTTTTCCATGCTGTTTTTATCACCCAGTTCGTGCCCATTTGGCCTTCAGATTATAATTTTATATGTTTTTAGAGTCTGGTATTTAAGACATGCAGAAACAGCATTTAATGCCGAAAAACGCAGAAAGCCTGAAGAATAAGTGGGTGGTAGTAACATTCTTCTGAGCATTCTTCTTGCAAGATGTTTGGAGGGACAGTGAGGGCCTTCCAAATTGTCTTACCCTGAATCACAGCTAGACTTCTAACCACAGGAGTCATTCCAAATCATTTAAAATTGCAATAAAAATTAGATGTTAGAAATTGAAGTCCTCTTTTTGCCTGCCTGTTACTGTAATGGACTGTGTGTAGTTGAACTGCTTGGGGGGGGAGGCAGCGAGATGCCGGGATACCTCACGCTGCAATGCTGGTTGCTTGCTGCCCTCACTTCCCTGGTGAGATGGGAGCTGATGCAGTGATCTGGTCTGGGGCTTTGCTCCCACCTCAGGCTCTGTGCTGGTAAGGCAGTGTGAGTGATAAGGGGGTATTTGTCGGCTGGCAAAGAGCTCGGCTTGTACTAATTCAAGCAAGAGCCTATGGGGCATCACCTCTTCCCAACCTTTGCTGCTCCTTTGCAGTCCTGCAGTGCTGTGGTGTGTGCCGACAAGCAGGGGCTGTGTAGGCATCTCATCTCCCTGTCGTTTACATCCCAAGTGATGCTTAGTTGTCAGCTGCCCTCCTTTCAAGCACTGTCCTTTTTGTGTGTCTAGACAGCAGCGAGTTTTCTCTTATGCCATTAAAACTCATATTACTTTGGCAGCTGTGGGTTTCCAAACTTGCAGAAACTTGATGAGCCAACAAATGTGTGGCACTTGGGCTGCCTATGATCACAGCTTGAAAGCGTTATATGGAATAAAGGAAAGAGCTCTCAGGTTTGCTCTCATCATTGAAAGCTCAGGTGCTCGGAGGCTAAAAGTATTCTTCCTCTTGTTCTCTTTTATTTCATAATATAAAAGAGCCAGGTATGATAAATGATATCCTGATGTTGTGAAGGGGATTGAGTGTGAGGTGATGTGTTGAAGCTCTGGTGCCTGGTGTGATCACTGACACATGCAATAAACAGGCTCTGCAGCAGCACACCTGACCTCACAGCACAACATACATCTTATCTGCTGTCTTTTCCTCTGCAATGTCAGGAACAACACAGTTCAACTTCACACTTATGTTTTAGTTTTAAAACACACTGGAGATGCCCAGAGCCATTAATAAGGCAGAGGCCACTTCCAGGTATGCTGCTACCCCATTTGCTTCCACTTGTCAACAGAACGCTGTGCAAATGCTGTGCAAATCTGTGGCAGATGCAAGTGCTCCAGATGGTACTGGGAAAAGTTCAAATGAAAGATTTGATTCCAGCCCTTCCTCACTTCAATAAAACTTCGTTCATCTCTCTAGTAGAGCCCTTTTTTCTAGGGGTTTTTACAAATTCATCCCTCCTTCCTCTCTGAGTTGTGCCCTTGATTTCATCCCCATGTCACTGGAAGGCACGCTGCTGGTTGTTGCAGTCTGTCATCCAATGCCCGTGCTTTCCAGCACATCATTCTGGTGCTGGGATCATGGTCTGTAAGAACTGGATAAAATCCATTAATCGGGGTGTCCAGATGTGCCTGTGGTGGGACCAGTTGCCAGGTTTGGGCCAGGTAATGGTGATTCATGGGGTTTCAGCACCCAGCCATACACTGGTGTGGTGCAGTGCAGACCTTCAGCGCATGCTGAGACAAATAAACCCTTGTGCCCTGGGTTCCCACCACCTCAGTGTAACTGCATCATGGGCTGCATCTACCCTGTTGCCACTCTTGGGCTTTGCCTGCTGCCCAGGTATGCAATGTTCTTCTGCAAAGCCAACATAGAAGAGCAGGGAGGCTGAAAGCAGGCACCCTCTGGGGGCGGCCCAACCCATGGGGCACTACCTGGACCTAAATTTGGCTTGGGAGGATGAGGGAATGGAGAGATGACATCTCCCCCATTAGCTCCATCTGGAATGACATGTGTGCTCCTGATTGTGTGCTGTGCTGATGCTCATACAGTGCCCGAGTCACCACCCTGCATTAGCTTATTCCAGCACATTTCCTTGTTACAAAATTAGATCCACTTTGCAAATTGCTGCTGCACTAGTAATGGAATTGAAAGGGGGGGGTGTTGGGGGGGGGTGTTTGTTGTTTGTCTATTTTTTCTCTATTTTTTTCCTTTTTTCACTGGAGTAAATCAGGAATAAGTCAACAGAATCAAGCCCTTAGTGCTTTCAGCAACATGCTCATTTAAATTGGATGCAAGAGGGTGTCTGTGTTTACATTTGGCCTGCCAAGAATCTCTGTTTCAGAAACTGGCTTACATAATATGTCAAAATTGGTTTACTCATTAGCATTGCAAACTGCATGAAACAAGCTGCAGATTGATAAACTTGCAGCAATATTTTGCAGCCAGAGCCGAATGGCACAGGGGGAGGGGAGATTCATTAGGAAATATTCCATTTCCACGCGAAAAACCAAAAACCAGTGGTTTCCAGTTATGTGCCTCAGACTTCATTTATTTTTTGGTGTCTTCCTAAATTTAGATAAAGATTGAGAGAGAAATGTGAAAATCTCCGCTGACAAACAGGAGCCTGTCTTAGTATTCGCTGGGCTGATGGATTATGTGCTACAGCAGCTCCAGGCTGGACCACTCTCCATTCCTTGACTGAGGCTGTAGCCCCTCTGCCAGGCTCCATCCTGCTCACACAGCCACTGCTGCCTCGACTGATGTTTTTGCTATAGCACAGGTGGAATGGAGGCTCTGATATTATTAATTAGCTCCTCCAGATGTTGAGTAGGCACAGATGTTGTAGCATGGTACAGTGGTCTTGTGGTGCTGTTGTCTCCTTTTTCCTTAGCCTGACCAGGGTGAGCATGGGTGCAATGCAGCCTCAGGCAAAGCTGAGGACCATGATGCTGAAAGACCAATAAACTTTCATCCCTGCCATGTGGTGTGTGATTTTATAGGCATCTGTAAATCTGCACACACACATGAAAGCATGAACTTCCAGAGTAATATGGGCAAATAAATATAGAGTAAAGCATCAGTGAGAGGATCCAAACATAAGTGGTGCTTTTGGGCTTCCACTGTGTGGGCTTTAAGGAGCCTGTGGTGGGCTGGGGAAAGAGGCAGCAGAGAGTGGTGGGTAGCCAGAAGAGCAGCCCTGTCTCATGCTGTTCTCATGCAGATCCCTCCTGTGACTACTGCTGTACTTGGGGAGAAGCCTCTTCCCAGGCTGCAGCCATAACCATTACTGGTGTCACTGTATCCCTTTTAGCTGCAACCCTCCTACAGGCAAGGGTTAAATGTCTTCAAACCCTAAGTGATGTGGCAAAGCTGGTGGAAATCTGCTGGGTGTGTACAGCTCTTCAGTGGTAGCTAAAGGAGTTTGGGGCTTAAATCCCAGGGAGCTTTTTAGTTTGCTTTGAAAC